GCTACCCCTGCCGGGCGAGCGCCCGCAGGTTGACGCCTCCTGCAGTGACGGCGCCAACGACGAGGGGCTCCGCGAGGCTGGCGACATCTATCCAGCGCGAGGCAGCGCTCGGGGGGGCGGATGCCGAGATCGAGTCTGAGGTTGGTAGTAGCACAGCTGCTCAGCGTGGTGGCGCCGCTGGATCGACCGCTCGCTCATCGGGTGGGTGGCCCCGTCGCCGCCGCGAGCGAGGCGGCGGCGGGCGCGCCCGCCTCTGCCGCGAGCGTCAACGACGCCAGTCCCGTTGCGCGCGGCTGCGACGCGACCGCTGGCGTCCAGACTTGCTCCGCGGTTCCAGCCTGTGTTCAGATGCAACCGACGCAGCCCCCGAGCAACATCGATTTCCGCATCTTCTTCGCGAGTATATTGGAGCGGGGCCCAGTGGCCTCCAAGTTCTTCCAGGGCCGGGCCAGCGAGTGCGCGCGAGTCGGCGCGCTTGAGGCCCGCGCCCGTGCAGAATGGCTCCTGCCTGCCAAGGCTGAGCTGTCCATGGATGGGTGGTGGGTGGTCAGCGCCGGGGCTATCCCGTGGGGCGCTCTGCTGCGGGCGCGTCAGGGGGCGAGTGGATTGTCTGTCGCAAGACCGCCGCGATCACCAGCTTCGAGCACTGGCGCGCGGCTGAATTCTCGCGCTCTGGTGCCGGCCCCCTGCGCGGCTCCTGTCCCACTCTGGCGCGCCGGGGCAGGCCGCGTCGTCGCGGCATTTTGTTTTCCTTTGCCTGCCGCCAATCCCAAGGGTGATATTGACAGAACGCTCGTTCGTTTAGCGGCCATCTTGAATCTTCTCAAGGGCCCATGGGCATTCGTGGAGGATTGGAGTATGGCCCCCCTGCAGAGCGGGGTCAGACATCCAGGGTTCGGAAGTTGGATGGTAAGACGAGGCTCCCCGTGAATGGCCCGGTCACGTGCGACCGAGGTTCATGCCCCTTCATTGCGTGATGTCCAGCCGCCAGCTACCCGATGTCGTCCAGGTTTCGATCGTCCTTGACGTGCCGTGGAAGACTCGCGCATTTTTGAATGCACGCTGTGAAGGCTGTTCAGACTAGCTGCTGGGCCTGGGTCCTTGCGGGCGCTGGGCCTCGGCCCATTGCTGCTCCCCCGACGGCCCCCGAGGTCCGTTTCGGAGTCCAAGCGGCTTCGCCAGGAGCAGTTGTCAGAACGTCTTTAAGATGCTTTCGAACAGCTGTGTCGACGATCACCAGCTCGAGCTTGCGCACGCCGCGGAATTCGACATCCCCCTGGAGCTATGGGTGCAGCGCCGCCCCTGCTAGAGACCACGCTGTGTTTGAATCGCGATCCATGCCGTGGTGACCGTACCTCTTTGGTGTCTGGCTAGTGGGTTCACGCCGTCGAGTTGGCCGCGTTGAACCGCCGTGGCGTTTCTCAGCAGGACCGTGCTGCGTTCGGCGGTGGAGCCAGCGGCCGCGACATTCGATGGCGCCAAACGCGAGCAACCCCAGGCCGGCATCGCATGCGCGACGAACGCTTGGATTGGTGGTAGTTGTGGTCCACATTGCTCACCATATACAGGCTGCTACGTCGATCCGACAAGGATGTGGGTCCCGCGTGCTGCAATAATGAGCTCATTCAGCTCATGGGCGCTGGCCGCTGGGCCATCGAGTTCCCGATCGGGAAGGACGAGGATCGCGGCTGGTTGCTCTGGGTGGCCTTGACCTACAGGATCGACGACTCCAGCGACTTCGACTTAGACGCTATTTTGAAGCACGCTGAGAAGTGCAAGTCCAGGGCCGCCAGTGAGGCCCTCCCTACAGGAGGCTTACCAGGCATGGGTAATCAAGATGTAGTTCGAGGCTCCTTAGCGCCGTAATCGTTTCTCACGTGTTCATGCATGGATAAATTTTGTCGACATGTGCATTGCATCGGTCGCGCCTCTCCTCGACCTCGAGAAATTCTGTGCTGCGCTTTTCTCGTCGCTACTTTTTGCTGCCGCGCTTCAGCAAGGCTTTCTTGCTGTGGCCCTTGCTTTGGATGTCCAGATGTTTCTCGCCCCTCGGCATCTCGAGGATCGAGCTTCCATGGGCCGGCAGATCCAACGTTGGCGCAGGATGGTGGTAGGTTCGGCGAACGGAGGCCAGCTTGCCGCAGTTTTTCTCGGATCTACATGTCTGCGAGCTCATTTCAATTACGGATTGCAGATAACTTCGCGCCATCGTCGATGACGCGGTCTTTCGTGTGGAAGGCTTCGAGGAGGTCGTTGGGCATGCGCTAGTCAGTTCAGGTGCTACTCTCTCGGGTGACCGGTCATTGCGGGCCTGGCTGTGAGCGGCAAGACGGTGTTGGTGGCCTCATTCAATGCTCTTGCTCCACGTGTGGCTCGCGTTTTACGAAGTAGAGGGGGGCCGGTCATGGCCGTTCGAGAAGGTGGCGACCTTGGAACTGACTCGAGTGCTAGCTTCCACCGTTCGATCCCGAAGGCCCGTGGCCGCATCCAGAAAATTTGCGCTCGCGCCGTCGCCGCGCGCAGGATGAGTTGCAATGCCAAGCTTCGCAAACGGGCGCTCTTTGGAGCGCGGCCGCCAAGCTTTAGAGTGCACGCGCGCGCCCAGTCTTCGGAGTGCGTCAAAATCACGTCGCTCAGCTACGACGTCAGGCAGCGCAGAGCGCTTCGCGGGCAGGTCGTGGGAGGTGCTTCGCTTCGTTGTTTGCTGCTGTTCTCGGAACGTGTGATCCTGCCGACGTTCTCAGGTGGCGCGCCGTGCTGCGTGGCTAACGATGTGGCGCGACAGCCCTGCTCACTGCGGGGCAACAGTTCTTGCCCGCCGTCGATCCCCAGTGGGCGCCCCGCTCGCCGATGGATTGGGGCGCGGACAACAGTTTCAACTGGGAGATCCCCTCCTGCGTGGGCGATGGCTTCCAATATTTCCAAGAAGACTTCGCGGACTCTGGATGACGTTAAGGCCTCCGTCGGTCGCGCGTCGCGGGCGGCGGCGCCTCGCCGGGCGGCGGGTGGCGATCTCGGCGCAGTGGCGGGCGCCTCGCCCGTCGAGGAAGAATTTGACGGGTTCGACGTCGACGAGGGCGGCAACCGGCGGGCGCCCGACGTGGCCGTCGTCGCGGGGGCGCAGCGCCCCCGTGAGAGGACGCAGGCGGCGTTGACTGCCTGTGTCCGAGGTGCAAGTTGAAAAGTCAGTGCTTCGCCCGTCGAGCACGGGGGCGTTGCGCGAATGTTGATCGCGCGGATTTGGAGGCCTCTGGGCACTTGGCGGCCGCCGCCATGGCCCAGCACGACGCCTCCCTTAGCTTCTAGCTCCGAGGGCTCCTAGTGGTGTCTGAGACCGGCTCCTTTCTCGAACCCCCCCCGCGACGGGGGCGGGCTGGGCGGGGGGCCCTCGGGCGACGCTCGGCATCGCGAGGTGTGCTGGCATAGTTGGTTTCACTTCCTATGGGTGCCAGTGGCGCCCCGCGGCGGGTCGCGGGGCGACCCTGCAGGGGCGTGGACAGACTGCCTGGAGCGGAGAAGACTTCGGCTTGCTAGGCCCAAGGCCAAGGTCGGTAACCCCGACCTGTCACTTCTGTGCCGCTCTTGGACGCGCGGAACAGAGCCGGCGCTGTCGTGGCCCCCCGTTGAGGTTTGGTTATATAACTGAGATGTGGTCTCGCATTCGGTAGGCTCGCGCCTCCCGCGGCCTTGGATTTGTCGAGCTTGTCTGGGCGCCGCCCCGCGTTGGCGTCGGTGATCTCGCCGGCCCCTCCCCCTCTCAGCTCTTCCATGCATGTGGAAACGAGTGTGCCGACGTCTTGGCTTCAGGGGTGGTTGAGATTTCGTGGTCTCGTCGGGTCTTCGAACCCGCCCCTCGCGCTGGGGAGGGGTGCCGTGCTGGCGCTTGCTCGCAGGAGGGCGCGTAGAGCTCTAGTGAGATCCGTCCGGGCCGATGCCTGGTCCGTGGAGTGGCAGCGCCCTCGCCCCGGCGTCGCCGCTCTCCCGAAGCCTGCGCGGGCGCTGAAGGATTCCTGTCGTTCCTTGACCCGCTTCGGTTCTAAGTTCGCACGCGGAACCTGCGGCCCTGTTCCCAGAGAGTATGTTCCAGTTGTGTGAGTCATGGCGCGTCGAGCGGGGGAGTGGGGATGTCGCGCTCTATCGCTGAGACCGCGCGATCGGGGGCCGCGCCCTGATCCGCGCCCGCCACCTGCAGCACTGGGGGCAATTAGTTGTCGTTTTTCGTTTGACCTGTGGTCAGACCTGTGCCTCAGACAGCAGGCACCTGGCGCAACCGTGCGTAGTCACTTCCATGGGCAGGCATAACCTTGCCCGCATTTAGAGGGGCGAGCACCCGCGCCCGGGTGGCCCCCTTCGTGCAGCCAGAGAGGCGCAGAGCCCCAAGATTTAATCCATATTGTTTAGTTACTTTCTTGTAGGCGCTGTTTTAAGTTACGCTGGCAGGCTTCACCAAGGTCCCAATTTGCCTCCTCTCCCCCCCGCGTGCAATCCGCAAAGGGCCGTCGTCGTCATCGTCGTCGCCGCTGTCGTCGGGACTTGCAAGCTGCCCCAGCAGCCCCCCCTTCCCCACATGCCAGCCGCAAAGGGGCGTCGTCGTCGCCGGTCGTCGTCACCATTGCTGGCTGTGTTCTTCGTCGTCATCCCCCGTGACTGCAAGACGCCTTCGCAACGCCATCCGCAAAAGAGCCGTCGTTTTCGTCGTCGTCGTCGTCGTCGTCGTCGTCGTCGTTGTCTCGTCCTTCGGTTCAGCAAGACGCCCGTGCAGCTGGGCGCCCGCGCAAGCTCCCCCCCTCCCCCATTTTTCGTCCACAGTCCGCCGTCGTCCTCGCTGGCGCCATCGCCTGTCGGTTTTCCTGCTGCTTCTCCGTTGTGTCCGTTGCGTGTTTACACAAATGGCGAGCAAAGCGATCGGGGATGCCCACGCAGGGCGTTTACCCGTTCTCTTTGCTCCTCTCTCTTTCCGCGTCCTTCTCGTCCATGGATGGCTCGTTCTGCGGTAGATCCCCCTCCCCCCCAGTGGGGAAACATGCCCCCCAGGATTGCCCCGCGCCCGCGCCAGGGGGCAAGGGGTGCCGTCGACCAGTCCGAATCGCCGCCCCCGCCGTTCCGAATTGTCAGCCCTCGGGTTTCCCCTGGCCTTCCAGGCGGCCCGGGGGCCAACCCGAATTGTCAGTCTTCCGTGGGCCGAGCTCCGTGGCCTGGTATTATGAGAGCCACGCGGCCGCCGAAACATTTTTCCATCTTCCCCAAGTTCTTTCTCATAGTCGTTTGTCCGTAAGGCCGTGTGCCCCCGATCTTTAATAATGGTATGTGCAAGAGCTGTGTGGGGAGGCTGGGGCGCCGTCGTGAAGCAGTGTCGGGAACCCGAGCGATGGCCAATGTCGGACGCTACGGCTTGCAATGTAAGCCTGAAACGGATTGTTCCTTGAGGACCTTGCAATCTAAGCGTTGCCATCCGTCAGTGCGTGGCGCTGCGTGCAACTGGTCAGATTTCGGCCTTATGGCAGCGTATGGGTTTTCTGAGACTTCTGGGGCCCAGGATTGGCGCGAATCTTTCGTTTTGCGTTCCGTGCGCGTGGCGTCGCGCCTTGAAATTTCGGAAGGGTGTCGCGACAGTGAAGTGACATGTTCAGTGCATACCGTTTTCCCAAGGAGTCGTCCAGTTCGCGCGCGAAGGCTGAGCATCGTCGCGGTGGGGGCGGAAAAGGGGGGCGGTTGGCAGGTGGGAGCGACGCGGGTTGTTTTGCGATGGCCGTTTCGCGGTGCGTCCGTTCAACCCTCGACGCCCAGGGGTAGGGGCGGGCGATCCTTGACGACGCAACTGTTGCGTAATTTGCAAAAAATGTCAAGGCATCGGGGGCGAAAGCACGAAGTCATTTACTTTACAATTTTTTATGGCTTCGGGGACGCGAGTACCTTGTAATTTGCTAGATTTTGTCGGTTCGGGGACGAATATATTGGATAACTTACAAGGTTTATGATTTCGGGGACGCAAGTATGGAGTAATATACACGGTGTTACAGCCATGGGAACGCGAACGTCGTACGATTTATCTAGGGTTTTGGCTTCGGGCACGCGGGTGTCACGTATTGTTGCGTGTCCCGTACCCCCCCCGGGAATTCAAATGAGGCGATCCGGGCGTGGTAATTTGGGCTCTTTTCGGCTTCCCCCTTCGCGCGTTCAGTAACAATTAACAATCGGAAACCATATGTAGAGCTATCACATTGGAAACTGGAACCTGCAACTGATGCAGGGAACAGCGAACCTCGTTCTACAGCCTGGTGGCCCCACAATGGGGCCGGCGGACTTCCAACCACCTAGAGCATACACGATCCATTTGCACGCTGGATGAGGCCACGCACATCTATGTATACACATTCACTTTTTCGTGTATGTATGTATGTATGTATTGTAAAGTAATGTAATGTAATGTAATGTAGTGTAATGTAATGTAATGTAATGTAATGTAATGTAGTATAGTGTAATGTAATGTAATGTAATGTAATGTAATGTAATGTAATGTAATGTAATGTCGTGTAATGAAATGTAGTGTAATGTAGTGGAATGTAGTGTAATGTAATGTAATGTAATGTAATGTAATGTGATGTAATGTAATGCAACATAAAGTAATGCAGTGTAACGTAATGTAGTGTAATGTAATGTAATTTAATGTCATGTAATGGAGTGGACTGTAATTGAATGTAATGTAATGCAATACGTTGTGATGTAATGTATTGTATTGTAATGTACTTTAATGCCATGTAATGTGATGTGGTGTAATGTAATGTAATATAATGTAATGTAATGTAATGTAATGTAATGTAATGTAATGTAATGTAATGCAATGCAATGCAATGTAATGTAATGTAATGTAATGTAATGTAATGTAATGTAATGTAATGTAATGTAATTAATGTAATGTGATATAATGCAGTATAGTGTAATGTAATACAATAGTGTAATATAGTGTAATGTAAAATATAATGTAATGTAATGTAATGTAATGTAATGTATTATAGTGTAATACAATGTCGTGTAAATTAGTTTAATGTATTGTAATATATTGTGATGTAATGCAATGTAATGCAATGAAATGCAATGTACTGCAATGTACTGTATGTATGTATCTATGTGTGTGTGTGGTTGTTCACCCTACTTCAACATCCGCTTACAACCCGCTTTATGCCCTTAGCCACCCCCGCGGTGATCCAAGCAGGTGGGCCACCTTTTCTTTGGACATCGAGGTTCCAGGGTTTGACATCGAAGTGTTTTTTTGGGCGGTTTGGGGTTGTGTCGAGAGGCTCTGGGGTGTTCGTGGGGGCCCGCCTCCTCAAGCGATGTGTATGTGTGTGTGTATGTGTGTGTGTGTGTGTGTGTGTGTGTTTTCGGTGGCAAATTATTGGAACTTTGTGTGTTTTCGAAATTCCGTTGTTAGAGTACGTGAGCGTGCGCCAGCATTTGGCAGTCGATGACAACGCCTTGGCTCAATGTCGATTGGCTTCGGTCAGAGTCGACTAGCGCTGTTCTAACGTCGATAAGCGTTGATCAGCGTCGGCTCGTAGAAAAAGCAGGAAAACGGCCTGAGAGGTTCGCGTGAGCTGCCACAGAAGTGTTGCCTCGAGGAAGTGGCGACCCCCAGTGGTGACTCCCGCCGGCTCTGCCCCACAGGTGGGGCCGCCGCCCGGGCTGCTGCTCCCCGTGGGGTGGCCGCCCACATGCCTGGCGTGCGGCGCTTCCATGGCATCCGGGGGCAAGGGGGGTACCCGAAGAAGAAGAAGAAGAAGAAGAAGAAGAAGAAGAAGAAGAATAAGAAGAGTGTGCGGCGCAACCGCCACTTCACGAAAGTGGAGCAAAGTTCGTGTTGTTTGGAGCCATCTGGGGGTCTGAGGTCTGAGTGGCCCGTCACTGGTTCCGGTCAGCAGGACCGGGGAAGGCGAGGTTCGAGGTTCTGGGCCGCGGAAGGTTTTTCGACTTTTTCGGTTCCCGGGGGCCGTTTTTGGCCCCGGGGACCGTGGCAAACGGATCAGGGTTGGAAGCTGCACCGAATGACTCTGGGAGGTGCCCAGGGATCGACTTTGAACGGAGTTGGCCTGATAATCGCCACCCACCAAACCACCCCAACCCAACCAGAAGGCTCAGATTTACCCTCGATTTCCAGTGGGGGGGGGCGGGCAACATTGAAAAAACACATTTGGAACCCTTACCCCCCCACCCGAAATTCGGGTCTTCGGGTTTGGTTGGGGTGGTCTGGTAGGTAGTCAGATAACCCCCCTCCTGATAGTGTTTCTGGGGTCCCAACCAGTTCAGACCCCCCAGCCGCCTCCAGCACGGTAGAACCGCGGAATTGCACAGGTCAAGCAAGGTTAGCACTGTTGACCCCATGCGTTTGCTGTGAAGCCGTCTCTGGGGGTTTGAGGTGGCCCAGCACGGGTTCCGGCCAGCAGGAAGGACTGGCAGGCTCGAGGTTCTGGGCTTTGGAGGGTTTTGTCTTTTTCGGCCTCGGGGGGTCGCTTTCGGGCCCCAATAACGTGCAAAACTGTTCCGGGGTAAAAAGATTGCACCAGAGTGGCCTTGACTCCAGGCGGCACCGACCTATTTATGGGTGCCTCGGCGGTACCCTATGCGAGGCGGTGCGGGAGGAGAAATGAAACGGCCTTTCTCATCTCCGTGCCGCCACCGACGTCGCATCTCTCTCTTTCTACAGTCTTCATTTCTTGTACATCATGCGATTCCACTCACCGTTTTCACTTCTTGGGGCCATCCTGGGGGCCCATGGGCCCGTCTTTGAGCGTCGGAAGCTTGAAGCAGCGAGAGCGCAAACATCATTGAAAAACCGAAGGAACATCAGATACTCTGCTCCTAAAGGTTGGACCAGCTCGCTTCTGCTCCCGCTGCAGCGGGCCTGCGCTCCCGCTGGAAGAGCGCTTGCCGCGGGCGCAGCGGTGCCCCCCAGTTCCAGATGGCCGACTCCGATCCAACGAGGAGCTGGGACCTCTGGGGCAAATCGGAGGAGGAGCAGAGTCAGAATGCCTCAGTTTTGTTGACCGCAGGTGCGGATGCTCCCAGCCTGCAGATCGCAGGCGCAGGAGCACCCCCCCTCTGTGCACCTTTTTTTCCGTACTTCCTGTGCCCAGGGTAGGTACATCTCCGTGCCCCCCTGCGTAAAGAGGAGCCTGCCCACTGCAGGCGCAGGAATGGGGGTGCACAGGGCGTGCACACCCGCAGGGGGCCTCCTCCCCTCGCTTGGACTCCCCTTCTCGCTGAGAGGATCTGCTTGTCAGCGTTGTCCAGGGTGGGGTCGTCCACGAGGCTCGCCCGAACTGGGGCTTGCCAGTTGAGGAGTGCGTCGTCGAGAGGGGTCAGCTGCAAGTCTTGTGCTCGCAGCCTCTTCAGCGAAAGAGGGCGGGGAAGAGACAGGGCGGGAAATGGCAGGTGGGCGCGGCGAAGCCGGGGGGAGAGGTGTGGGCTCGGCCGCCTTTGGAAGCAGTGTGAGAGGGCGGCCCAGGAGAGCATCTGGTGGGGGAGAGCTGTGGGCTCGGGGGTCTGCTCCGTTCGCCGGGCCGCCCAGGAGGCGAGGTGCCCGACCAGGAGGCGGGCGGATTCGGGGGAATGTGGCGACGTCGAGGCGGAGATGCGCCAGCTGGGACGGGGTGCCGCCTCGGGGCCTCCCGCCCCGCTCGCGCGGCACACCCCAGCCCCTGGAGAGGCACGAGATGACCCGCTCGCCTTCTCCTGGTCGGGGCATTGCGGTCCTCGAAGAGGCCCGTGGCACTCTTCCCGTCCGACGCCTCGGTCCGACGGGCCATGTGCCGTGCGCCACCGCGTGGGTCGGCCTCCGGGTCAGCGGCCTCCTGCGTCTCAGGGTTCCCCAGGGCCGGTAGAGCCCCCGAGGGTCGCTGGACGTCTCGATCGCGCGCCCTCTGCGGGGTCTTGCGTCGCCCTGGCCTATCATCGCCGATATTGGTTCGAGTGTTGGTGTCCCATGGCAGCAGTGAGGAGGGGAAGGAAGAGGGAGGCAAGTTGTTTTGTGGTGCGTGGGTGGGCGAGGGGAGGGTGGAGCAGTGGGGGGGCGGAGGGTGGAGCGCGGGGGATGACGATAGGCGCGTGGTGGTCCGGGGAGGGGAGGGCGGTGCGACCATCTTCGGGGCCCCGCCGAGGAGATGATGAGCGCCTATCAGCTGCTGGAGGAGAGGAAGTTGAACCTGCTGAAGGACCTGTGTGACCTGCGGTGGCTCGACTCGATTGTCTGAAGCCCCTCTCCCCGCTCTTCCCTCCCACCCTTGCCTCTATCCTTCCCCTGCCACCCCTCCACTCCATTCCTTCTGCTTCCCTACATTCCGTCTCCCCCTCTCCGCCATCTCCTTCCCCTCTCCCTTCCCACTCTCCCGATTTCTTCCTTTCCCCCCCCTCCATTTCCCCCTCCCTCTTGGGAGATGTGCCAGATACTCTCACTTCATCGTAGCACGCACTGTGTGACAGGGCACATGCCTCTTAAGCGGCTCTGTGTCGTGACTCTGTCACCGTCTCGAGATGAGCGAAGCGTGTCAGACCGCTCCCTACCACCAGACTCCACGATAAGACGCGGTCCAGTCAGGCCGCAGCGTGGTGCGTGCGTGCGTGCGTGCGTGCGTGCGTGCGTGCGTGCGTGCGTGCGCGTGTGTGTGTGTGTGTGTGTGTGTGTGTGTGTGTTTGTTTATGGATATGTTTACAATCCAGTTGTGTCATAACATGCTTCCTAGTCTACGTGCGAAATGGCTGCTGCGTTATCCGCATTTGTTTTGGTGGATTCGAGTCTTTGGCTGGGTAGGCTTCAAGTGCTATCAGGGTAGTATGGCGAGTCCACCGATCGGGCTTTTGAATGCTAGCCTCGGAGTGATCGACGGATGGCATCGACGATGCACCGAGCGTTGTGGAAGTGTACCAGGATGAACGTGATCTCAACCGCAGGAGTGATCTTGAACTCGACCCATTAATGTCAGCTTGTGATTACCGAACGACTGGCCCCCCTCCAATGGCTGATGAATAGATCCCGCGGGGCGCGAAACTGTTCTTTGATCACGTGCGCCGGGGGGTCGGCGTGCGACCGCGCCACGGACGAGGACAAACACTGCGAACGACTCGCCTCTTCCGAGCGGCAGCACGCCCGCACAGTGCAGCCCAGTGCATTTGTGAGCGATGCGCGGGCGAATCTGTGCGCTGTCCCACAAGCAAGCGATCTTGCTCGTGGGCTCTGCAGTGCGCGCTGCCCGCCGCGTTGGGCTTGCGAGCGTGCGCCGCTCGAGCCTCGAGGTCTCCTCGGCCTGGCCCCTCCGCCATCGGGCCCCGGCTTCGTGGGCTCGTCGGGCCTTGGCCGCCCGCTCTGGTCGCCGCTCGCCGTCGTGGCCCGTCCCTCTGCACGCGGCCAGCGCTTGACGCCAGCCCGACTTCTCGTGACATGTGTAAACTCAACCTGTCGAAGGCGGAGCAGGAGCTGGAGGAGGGGGAGGCGGGGCGTAGACTGCGAGAGCGAGGAGCATGGCTCGGGGTCTCTCTCGGCGCGGCGGCGGCAGCAGCGGTTGGGCGGCGGCGACGGCGGCGGCGGCCTCCCTCGCCTCTCCCGCCCCTCCCTCCCACCTTCTCCCTCGCTCCATTCGGCGGGCATTGTGGCCCAACCGCCCCCCTGTTGCGGAGACGCTGCTGCGCCCACGCTGAACCCGCGCCGCTCGCATCGCGCCTGTCGCCGTCCATATGGCGGCCGGGTGTCGTCTCTTATCAGTGGCGCTGCGCTGGCGGGCGTCCTGCCGCGATTCACCCGGGCAGTTGGTTTTTGACTTGCGCGCCTGGCTTGTCCTTGTATATCGCAAGCTGGCATGCATTGCCGCGCAGCTGCGGTGAGCACGAAGTTCAGGCCTTCGACGGCCGCCTGGCGGGAATCATGGTAGTTGTGGTGGTAGTGATCACATTACTGTGTGAGGAAGGGTCGTTGTCGAAAACGCACCGGTGGAGAGATACCAGAAACACTTCTCGAAGTTTCGCGTGTCCCCGCCAGCTCATCCAGAAATTGTTGACGCTTCGCGAATCCCCACCAATGAAGGGCGACCTCGCAGTAGGTACATTAGAGGTCCTCGCCAGCGAGCGCAATGTCGGGAGGACCAGCAGCGGAATGGGAGACGATTCCCCCGCCGCCGTCTGGCGCAGCGAGCCCCCAACAGCCTCAGCTGGCCGCGCCCCCGACGATGACCCCCGCCAGCAACCCCCTGCAGCTACACAGGCGGGCGGAGATATAAAGGAAGAGCCATCCCCGCACAGGGACGGTTGCGGCAGCGGCAAAGTCGAGGTTGATTGGGACGAGGACAACCCACCAGACAGGACCGTCTCCATGGTCGACAGTCCCCCGCAGCAGGCCGAAGAGACCGAAGTTCCCGACCCCAGCGACACCGATGCTCCCCCCAGTCGGACAGTGCTGTGGACACCCCCCCCCGCCAAAGGACGAGTCAGCAACCTGGACGCCGTTCGCTACGGCCCGCTCCCTGTCGATCATGGAAGAGATCCGTGACGGCAGAGACCTAAGAGGAGCGGGGAGCAAGTCAGACCGCCGTCAGCAGTCCATTCCTGAACACGCCGCGTCTGAGCCCGAGACCCGTCCGCCACCCAGCCCACCTTGGCATAATCGCAGCCCGGACAGACGGCCCGGCCTACAGGCAGCCCCACTGCCACCTCCGCGCCGTGACGACCCCTTGGGCGGGCTCCCCATGTACAAGAAACCCATCTACGTGGCATACACTAAGGGGGACGATCCATCCCCAGACAAGATCATCAGGCTGCAGAAAACGCTGGGAGGCGCATTCAACGGGGTTTGGACTGCATGGGTCCGTAAGGCAGGCAGCAGGCAATGTCGTCCGTGGGTCCGCATCCATTCTGACCCCAACAAGCAGGCTATGATGCCTACAAGATGGAAAGTGATCACCAGCTCTGGGTGGAGTGGCCAACAGTCATTGAGAAGCATCGCAACCTGGTACAACGCGACACAAGGACGCGTACCCGCAAGGGACGCGATAGCGACGGCCGCCCGTATCCTTGGGCTGCCAGCAGCAGGGTAGTGCCTACCCCCCCGTCACCACCAGACAGGGCCAGCGACTCCACGCACGCATCCCCCTCAGGCGAACCCGGTGGAGTTGACCAGCGGCACCCGTGGAGCAAGCCTAGGGTAGACACGGCGGCCCCGCCGGTGTACACCGACTACAGGGTTGCCGCGCGGACGGGAGCATCCAGCTCTGCCGCCCCATGGCGCCCACGGCCGCCCTGGGAGGGGTGGGGCCGCCGGGACAGCTCATGGAGCGGCGCAGACTGGGGTGCCAGGGAAAAAAGGACCGCCCCGAGAGGCGACGTACAATACGCCGACAAGCGACAGCGAGGAAGGGAGTTCGACCGCTGGTGACGCTGGCGACAGGCCTGACAAGAAGTCACTGCTCCAAAGCAGGGATGGCGCGGCTTGGAACCCCCAAAGTCACACGGCCTGGAGCTGTCTTGGTACTAGGGGCGCTATCTTCATAAGTGACAGGCAGCAGCCGTACACCTTGGCCACCCCATGGGAGTGAGGTGTTCCACTCATCCTATGGCTTCCCCACCTTTTGTCAGACGTCCAGCGGCTATCGGCTGCTCTCCTCCTCTCCCTCCTGACGCCCCGACGACTTGGTGACCGGCCGACGGCGGGCCGTGCCGCCTGGGATGGCGCTGTCTGTAGCTCAAGGGCGCTGTGGCCTTCTGCCGTGGAACAAGAGGGAACTCTCTTCCCCAGTAACTTGCAGCTGCCGGGACACCATCGCCACCTCCTGGGAGTGAGGCATTCTGCTCCCATTGGCACCGCTCCCCCTTTTATTCAAATGTCCAGCGGCTATCGGCTGCTCTCCTCCTCTCCCTCGTCGCCCCAACGACCTGGTGACTGACCGACGGCAGGTGGCTGTCACAGGTCCTGCCCCATGCAAGCAGGGGCCGCCGCTCGGACTGGCCCCGGGGACGATGGAATCCCCCTGGGCTGCAGTTGCTCCTGGCAGCCCCCCCGGTGAAGGGGGGTCGTTTCACCGCAGTGGCAGGCCGCGGCCTCGGTTCCCGTGCTACCTCTTGGGAGTGAGGGGGCGCCCCCGCGCTGCGTTAGACCCCCGCGTCACTCCGTTGGCTATTAGCCCGTGCGGTCGGCTGAGATAACCCCACCCACGGTTCTTGGCCGCGTTCTACGCTGGCCCGTGGAGGACCGGGGCGATTGGCTGAAGGCCCCGCCCCTTCTACTCCCCTCTCGCAGTGGTTGGCCCTGGCCACAGTTCTTGTGCCACCTCGTGTGTTCGAGGGGCACCCCCGCGCTGCGCGTAGATGCCCGCGGCGCCTCGTGGGCCCCCTGCTTGTGCGGTCGGCTGAAACAACCCCACCCGCGGCTCTTTGGCCGCGCTGACTGCGGGCCCGTGGAGACAGAGGTGACTGGCTGAAAGCCACCCCCCTCGCGCTTCGCCCTTTGAAGTCCGACGGCGCGCCCGCATGGCTTCCACCCTCGACGGCGCCGCGCGCCGCGACCACCGCCCCAGGTGACGGGTCCTCTGATGGCTGCCTCAGGCTCCTTCCCGAGGTATCAGTGGCTTCGGCGCTCGAAGATTGGCGTCGTGGGATGTGGTGCTCGCCGCGGCTTTCCTCTTCATTCGTCATTTCCTGGTGGTTGGCCCACCGACGCTTGGGAGGTGTCGTCTGTTCTCCTCGGGGCGGGCCTTGGTGGGCCACCGACAAGCACAGGGTGCTCTGTGAATGAGTCCGCCTCGTTGCTAGGCTTCTGTGCTTCTTTCCCGCTTTGTCCTCTCGCTTCTTCCCGAGCTACGTCCCTTGTGGCTGCAGGGGTGCAGGCCCTGTGCCCGGCGTCTGTGGCGGTTCCCCCTGCAAGCTGGTGCCTTCAGGGCAACTCCTCGTAGCTTCCGCTGGCAATCGCTCAGTGGTTCTTTGCGTGTGCACTCCAGGCATCGGGCTGTTGGGCAGCGTGGCATCAGCCTGCGCGTCCAGCCGCTTGGCAATTTTCTGGCCCGGTTCCTGCTTGTGCATCTGTCTGGCTCTCTGGGCTTTTCCTTGCAGGTGCTGGTCAGGTTTCCCCACCTGTGGGTCTTGGCTTGTGCACAGTTTGCCGACAGTCTGTGGCAGCTCCGCTTGCGAGCTAGCGTCGTCAGGGCGCCTGCTCGTTGGCTTCCGCTGGCATTCGCCCAGTGGTTTTCTGCATCCCTAATCTTCTGGCATTGCGCCCCACTGCCTAGTGACGCGCCCTCTGGACTTCTCCTTGCGGGCCGCAAATCAAAAAATACCCCCCACCAGTTTTAATGATCTTCGTTCCGCGCCCCGGACGTTGACCCGCTTCTTGACCTTCGCCAGGGGGCCGCCGACCAAAAAAGAATCCCCACCAGCCCATCCAGAAACGATGCCCAGAGGAATTGCCTGGATCAGGGAAGTGGGCAGCACGCAGAGGAAGCCATTCTAAGACATCTTGGGATATCTTGAGCCATCTTGGAGGTCATCTTGGGCTCCCCCAGGCGCTCTTGGAGTCATCTTAATCAGTGCTCCCCCCCAAGAGGCCAACATGTGGCTAAAACCTTAGTGAAATCAATGATTTGGCATTCTCGCCGAGGCCTCTTGGAGCATCTTGTGTGCCTCTGGGGGTCTCTTGGGGCCTCTTGGGGGTCTCTTGGGGGCCTCCTGGGGGCCTCTTGTCAAACAAGAGGAGAGTATTAATTAGCGTCCCCCCCAGGAGGCCAAAATGGGGCCAAAACCTTGGTAAAACCACTGATTTTGGCTTTCTCGCCGAGGCCGGCTTGGCATTCTCGCCGAGGCCTCTTGGAGCATCTTGGGTGCCTCTGGGGGGTCTCTTGGGGCCTCTTGGGGGTCTCTTGGGGGCCTCCTGGGGGCCTCTTGGGGGCCCCTTGGGGCCATCTCGGGGCCATCCTGGGACCTCTTGGGACCTCCTTGGCGCTTCGTGGGGCCATCTTGAAGGAGATCGATCAAACACGAGGGGAGCATTAATTCACGTTCCCCCCCCCAGGAGGCCAAAATGGAGCCAAAACCTGGGTAAAACCAGTGATTTTGTCTTCCTCGCCGAGGCCGTTTTGGCATTCTCGCCGAGGCCTCTTGGAGCATCTTGGGTGCCTCTGGGGGGTCTCTTGGGGCCTCTTGGGGGTCTCTTGGGGGCCTCCCGGGGGCCTCTTGGGTGCCTCTGGGGGCCATTTTGGGGCCATCCTGGGACCTCTTGGGACGTCCTTGGCGCTTCGTGGGGCCATCTTGGGGCCATCTTGGAACCTCTTGGGGCCTCTTGGGCGCTTCTTGGGGTCATCTTGGAGGAGATCTACGAAAAAAGTGCGGAGCATTAATGAACCTCGCCCCCCCCCAGGAGGCCAAAATGGGGCCCAAACCCTCGTACAATCAATGATTTTGGCTTCCTCGCCGAGGCCGTTTTGGACGCTCTGACACCTCGTGGCCCCCCCCCCTCCAGGTCCACGGGGGAGGGGTGGAAGAGGAAACTCTCTAAGCCACCGGCGCCCAGACGGCTGGTGGGATGATGCCTAGGCGAGTTGTCTTGACCAAAGACATGTAGGAAAACGCATCGGAGCGATGAGGCGCAGGTGCGTCCGCCCAACCACCTTCACATTGCCCGTTGTTATTTTTTCTACAAGCTGAAGCAGGCCTTTTATAGGGACGTCGCGACAGCCGTCATGGTTGTTTTTGTTTTTTTTTGTTTTTGTGTTTTGGATTTTTTCGTGTCCGCGGAGAGTCGGCAAGAAACCAGGAGGCAGCCAAATTTCGCGAAGGACTTAAAGTCCTTCGCGAACTTTTCCACGGCTGGAAGCTGAGAGGAAGCTTCTTGGATAAACATTTTGGATCTTCTTGGAGGCGTTCGGGTGTTTCCCGAACCGATTCAAGTCTAGGCGCTGCCCCGTCGGAGCCTGGAAAACCTACTTGGGGGGCTTTTTGGGGCGCTCTTGGATTGCCTTCGGGAGCCTTTGGGGCCGTCTTGGAATCTTTCGGGGCTTCTCTTGGGGCTTTCGTGGGCTATGTTGGAGGCATCCTGGAGCTTCTGGAGACCATCTAAAGCGAAGCGGCGAGGAGTTCAACATAATTGAAACACGTTCGGTTCTGAAGGATTTTGGTCTCTCGTAGGCATCCTTGGGTAGTTCCATGTCCGCCCCGGGCCGTCATTCAGCGTCCTTGAGGCCCTTTTATAGTTATGCTGGGGCCAGCTAGCGCCGTATTTGATGGGCTTCCCAGGGCTGTGTTAGTTCACGGCATCTGGACTCTCCTTTTGATGGTGGCCATTTATCGCGTAGTTGCGGTGGATACTGACTAGCATGTTTTTGACGGGTGTCCAGCTTTATTTTTGCAGTCTATGCGCTGTTGAGGAGGAATCGCGGACAATGACTGGGAATGTAGCCATGTTGTGCGAGCGCGCGGGGAACGCTGACAGGCTTCAGCCATGCACGACGCAATACACACGTCTCTGCGGAGCGTGGAGGCCTTCCCCTCCAGTTTTTCCTTTCCTATACGCGGCAGCGTGAGTGTGTTCCACACCGTCGCACACTCGCTTCGATTCCGATCGAAGGATTGCAAAAAAGGATTGCAAAAAAAAAGAGGATTGCAAACAAAAAAACCCGAAGGATTGCAAAAACAAAACCCGTTTTTTTTTTTTTTTTTGTTTTTTTTTTTTTTGCAATCCTCCGCTACTTCGGATCCGTTATGGGCATCCGCCGCGCTGCCGGAGCCTGTGAGTCGACAGAACACTGCCGACCAACGCGCTGCTGTTTTTGATGCGGCTCTCGGTCTGCTTCGGAATCCCGAGCACCAGGGCCCCGAGGGAGGGGGTAGAAAGGTCCGGGTTGAGACATTGGCCCCGCGCGGTTTTTTTCGGCCCCGCTGCCGAGCCCAGCGTGGGCTTTCCGATGTGGTGGGATCGGGCTCTGGACAGATTTCTGGGTCGGTGTTGGAGGTTGCCGCGGTGATCGCGGCGGCCCCACACTGGGACATTGCCTTTTTGTCAAAGGGTGGCATGCCCCTTCCAGCTCCCCCCTCGTCTGCGATTCTGCGATGTATACGTGGCTCACAATTGCTTAGATAGCGACAAAGAGTTGTCAAGTTATGTCCAACATGGGCAGTCATGTTTCTCAGGGTAGGGGTCGATGATCACGCAACCATTGCAGTCCACTCGCTCCGACGACCCCTTTGCTTCTCGCCCCCGACCAACCGTCAGAGACCCGCGGGAGCGTCGTCGTGCCGCTCCGCTCCTCCGTCCCTCGGCCGAGGAGCTCGCCCTCGTGCACGAGAGGCAGCACCAGACCCTCGTGAGCTCAATGCGGGGCTCCGTGTAAAGCAGCTCGCCCCTGCCGCTGCTGCCAGGGCCGTCCTCTCCTTTCCCGGCGACAGCCCGAGTTCTCTGGCGGGGGGTGGAGGGGGGAGGTGCTGGCCGATGGCCGAACCTTCTCTCGTTCGTGATGGGAGCGTTTTCCACCACCACCACCATAAGTTGGAGGGGGGAAGAAGGAGGACGAGGAGGAGGACGAAGAGGAGGAGGACGAAGAGGAGGACGAGGAGGGCACCCTCCCCCTCCAACTTATGGTGGTGGTGGTGGAAAACAGGCCCACCAGTTCGGGCAGCCCCACGCACGACCCGCGCGCACCAGTGCCGCGGAGCCGCACCACCGAGAAGGTCGGGCTATCCAGGGGGGGCAGGGGGAGGGCGGGCGCGCCCGACACCCGGGGTTGCCGCCGGACCCCGAGCAAGAGCGGTGCCCTGCCCCGCTCCGACCAGCGCGGGCGGGGCTGACGGTGCGAGGCGGCCGGCTTCAGCATGGCCTGGACGTGGCCGCGCCGCTGTCTCTCTGGTTGCGGATAGCCGCCGGCGCCACGTGAGTTTTTGACGGGTTCAAGGGTTGCCCCACCCGAGTCTGCTGCAATCGTTTTCGTCGTGGCGTTTACGCCGCTCCGACGACCCCCAGGGGGGGAGACTCGTGACTATGCCCCAGGTTGCTCGGGCGCCTTGCAGACTTTGGGCCATCGTGCAAAGCATCGTGTGCTATATTTGACCATCTTGGACTGTCTTGGCAGACGTCGTATCGAAGACGCCTACATCGAAGTGCCGCCGCCTCCTGCCTTTTTGAAACGATCATGCGGTCAAACGTTGTGCCGAAGTCTGGCCAAACTGTTGGACTATGTAGTTCCCAGCCTTTGTGGAACCCCTTGGGGGAACACTTGGGGGAGGAGAAAGGACGCGGAGATGGAAGATCATGAGAGCGAGGAGAAGGAGGAGACAGAAGGGGAGGCCTCTTGAGGCCCTCTTGGGGCCTCCTGCCCATCTCGCCACCGCCTGGGTTGTAGGTCAGAGGCTTCTTGTGTGCCTGTGTGGATCTCTTGGGAGGCCTCTCAGAAGCCTCTTGGAGGTGGTTTCGGGCTGTCTTGGGGCCTTCCGGGGGCCTCCGGGGTTTCATAGGGGCTCTTGGGGCCTGTTTTGGGCCTCCTGGGGGCCCCCTAGGGCTTCTGGGGGGCTTCTCGGTGGCCTGCTGGTGGTCTCAGGGGTCAGCTTGGGGCGGAGGGTTCGAGACGTCGGTTCGTGTTCCTTGTCTTGGGACTCTCATGGGGCCCTCCTGGGGCAGTCTTGGGCCCTCTCGATGGCGTGCTGGGCCGTCTTTGGGTCCTCTTGGACTTTCTGGGGACCCTCTTGGTGGCTTCGTGGGCCGTCTTGGGGCGATCTTGCGGGCCTCTTGGGCCGTCTTGGAGCGTCGGAAGCCCGAAAAGGCGAGAGCGCTAACGTTTTCCAAACAATTAAGGACAAAGTGTGTTTTTTTTGGGGGGGGAGGGCTCTTGGAGCCGTCTTGGGGCGTCTTGGGGGCTTCTTGGCCCGTCTTGAGGCCCGCCTGGGCGTCTTGGAACGATCTTGGACCGTCCTGGGATGCTCCGGAGCCGTCTGGGGGGCCTCTCGGAATCCTCTTCGGCTGTTTTGGGGTGCTCTTGCCTCCAGAAACGTCTTAGGACAACACGCGGGAACACGCGCGGACACGCGGCACGCCCCAGGAAATCGGTGAACTGGGGGTCTGGGCTTTTAAGATCCTCAATCCTGCCTCGAGGCACGGTGCTAGATGACGAGACGCGCCTGGCAGTTTCGTTGGGGACGTCCTCAGACAATTTGTTTCGGATGGGGTTTCTGAGTCAACATTGTCCTGGATCCTGGATTTATGTCCCTACTCATCGGCAATCTCGACATCCGCCCCGAGCCGACCAAACTCTAAACGACTCTGCTGAAATTTGATAGAACTCTGGCTTCAAACTCGGAAGAAAACTCTGATTTAGTGTCTGGTAGTTTTCTGGGAGTTCCTTCCAGGAGTTTTCAGAGATTCTGGATTTCCCATGAGTTTTCTGGGAGTGTTCCCGTGCGTTCTTTCGGAGTTTCTGGATTTCAGTGCTCCAGGAGTTTCCCCTTGCAGTTTTCTCTGAGTTTACAGATTTCCTGTGAGTTGTCTGGGAGTCTTATCGGAATTTTTGCGGAGTTTCCGGATGTCTTGGTTCCCGGGAGTTTGACCGTTTTTGTTTTTTGGTTTGTTTGTTTGTTTGTTTGTTTTTTGTTAAATGTGTGTTTTTTGTGTCATGTTTTTTTTTTTGTGTTTCTCGTGTGTTTGTTATCGGAATATCCCAGGAGTTTGATCGGAGTTTTGTTTTCCGAATTTCCGAATTTCTTGGGAGTTGTCCGGGAGTTAAATAGGATTTTTCGGTGTTTCTGGATTCCCCGGGAGTTTTCAGGAAGTTCGAGCAGTTTTTTTTTTTGTTTGTTGAGTTTCCATTTTTCTTTGGAGTTTGATTGGAGTTTATTTTCGGAATTTTTGGATTTACCGGGAGTTTTTCCAGAGTGTCCAATCAGGACTTCAATAGAGTTTAAACAGAGTTCTAACAGATTTCGCGTTCACTTGCATTCAAGATAGGAACTCAATCCTGGAGGGCCTAACCACGGCCCAGAAGAGCACCAAAAGGTCCCCCAGAGGACCGAAAGCGGCTCCCAAGAGGCTTCCAAGAGCGCCCCAGGAGCCCCCCAGCCGGCCCAAGAGAGCCCCAAGACAGCCCAAGGTGGTGCCAAGACGGCTCAAGAGAGCCCCGAGCAAAAAACCATGACATGCCCAGAGAGACCCAAGGGCGCCCGAAGCCCTCAGACGGTCCAAGAGAGCCCCAAGACAGTCCAAGACGCCAAGACGGCTCAAGAGAGCCCCGAACAAAAAACCATGACATGCCCAGAGAGACCCAAGGGCGCCCCAGGAGGCCCCCAGACGGTCTAAGGAAGCCCAAAGACAACTCAAGATGGCGCCAAGAGCCCCAGAATAAGCTCCAAACGCGCCCAGACGTCCCAATCTAGTCTCCCGATGAGCTCCCACGCTGACCCCGCAAGGCCACCCAGAGAGTGCCCCAAGAGCCTCTGGCGTGGACCACCACTTGAACTACACAGTTGAACATCATATTGTAATGCGCGGTGCTCCTCCTCCTCATTCTCCTCATTCCTCCTTCTCATGCTCGTCCTCGTCGTTCTCTTCCTTTCAGTCGTTGTGCTTGTCTTCCGCTTCGTAGTCCTCCTGTTCCCCCTCGCTGTCTTCCTTTGTCATCCGCCCAACGAGCCCAATGGATCAACGCGACGCTTCCAGTTCGTGACCGTTCAGGTTGGTTTCTGGTCAACGGGGGACATTGTGGGGGCGTATTGGGCGTGTCGAGTTCGCCCCCGCCCCCCCCCACTGGAACCACCCACTCGATCCGCGAGGGCGGAGTATGGGACAAGGCGCGCCCATACATCTGACACGCCCTTGTCACGCCCAGATAGCGGGGTAGGCGCATGTTCCTTTAAGCCTGTTTGTATGCCTTCCACGCGCGGCTCGGTCATTACCTTTGCTCGCTCAGTATTTCTTCTACTTCCCTCCATTGTTCTCTTTGCCTGCCTCTCTGTGTCTCTCTCTCTCTCTCTCGCCGACTCGTTTCCTCAGTGCAGCGCTCTCTGGCTCTTTCTCTTCCTCTTTCTCCCCCCTTGTTGTCACTGTCTCGTTTGCCTGCTTTCTCATGGTTTTGGTATTCCTCTCTGCCTCTGTCTCTCTTTTTTTTGTCTCTCTCTCTCTCTCTCTCTCTTTGTCCCAACCATCCTGTGGTGTTGGGTCCTCGTTTTGAAGAGGCGGTCCCCGCGTCCTCCTCTCCACTCCTCCTCTCCTCCTCCTCCCCCTCTTCCTCCCTCCTCCCCCTCCTCCTCCCTCCTCCCCCTCTTCCCTGCGTTTCACCCACCCAGTACAGCGTTTCGTAGCCCCATAGGAGCTCCGCCGAAGGCCCCAGTGCTGCCGCCCGCATGCGTCACGCACACCCAATTCGGCACACCCCTCACACGTTTCGTGGCCCCATAGGGAGCTCCACCGAAGGCTCCAGTGCTGCCGCCCGCATGCGTCACGCACACCCAATTCGGCACACCCCTCACACGTTTCGTGGCCCCATAGGGAGCCCCACCGAAGGCCCCAGTGCTGCCGCCCGCATGCGTCACGCACACCCAATTCGGCACACCCCTCACACGTTTCGTGGCCCCATAGGGAGCTCCCCGAAGGCCCCAGTGTTGCCGCCCGCATGCGTCACGCACACCCAATTCGGCACACCCCTCACACGTTTCGTGGCCCCATAGGGAGCCCCGCCGAAGGCCCCAGTGCTGCCGCCCGCATGCGTCCGCACACCCAATTCGGCTCACCCCTCACACGTTTCGTGGCCCCATAGGGAGCCCCACCGAAGGCCCCAGTGCTGCCGCCGCATGCGTCACGCACACCCAATTCGGCACACCCCTCACACGTTTCGTGGCCCCATAGGGAGCTCCGCCGAAGGCCCCAGTGCTGCCGCCCGCATGCGTCACCCACACCCAATTCGGCACACCCCTCACACGTTTCGTGGCCCCATAGGGAGCCCCACCGAAGGCCCAGTGCTGCCGCCCGCATGCGTCACCCACACCCAATTCGGCACACCCCTCACACGTTTCGTGGCCCCATAGGGAGCCCCACCGAAGGCCCCAGTGCTGCCGCCCGCATGCGTCACGCACACCCAATTCGGCACACCCCTCACACGTTTCGTGGCCCCATAGGGAGCTCACCGAGGGCCCCAGTGTTGCCGCCCGCATGCGTCACGCACACCCAATTCGGCACACCCCTCACACGTTTCGTGGCCCCATAGGGAGCTCCACCGAAGGCCCCAGTGCTGCCGCCCGCATGCGTCCCGCACACCCAATTCGGCACACCCCTCACACGTTTCGTGGCCCCATAGGGAGCCCACCGAAGGCCCCAGTGCTGCCGCCCGCATGCGTCCCGCACACCCATTTCGGCACACCCCTCACACGTTTCGTGGCCCCATAGGGAGCTCCACCGAAGGCCCCAGTGCTGCCGCCCGCATGCGTCCCGCACACCCATTTCGGCACACCCCTCAGACGTTTCGTGGCCCCATAGGGAGCTCCACCGAAGGCCCCATGGCTGCCGCCGCATGCGTCCCGCACACCCATTTCGGCACACCCCTCACACGTTTCGTGGCCCCATAGGGAGCTCCACCGAAGGCCCCAGTGGCGGCGCTCACATGCGCATGCGTCCCGCACACCCATTTCGGCACATCCCTCACAGGTTTCGTGGCCCCATCATCCACCGGAGGCCCCAGTGGCGGCGCTCACATGCGTCACCCACACCCACCCAATTCGGCACACCCCTCACACGTTTCGTGGCCCCATAGGGAGCTCCACCGAAGGCCCCAGCGGCCGCGCTCACATGCGTCCCCGCCACCCATCCCGGCACGCCCCTCACAACCTCAGGTTTCGTGGCCCCATAGGGAGCTCCACCGAAGGCCCCAGTGGCACCGCCCGCATGCGTCCCACCCGCACCCAAGTCGGCACACCCCTCACACGCTTCGTGGCCCCATAGGGAACTGAACCGAAGGCCCCAGTGGCGGCGCTCACATGCGTCCCCGCCACACATCACAGTACACCCCTCACGCGCTTCGTGGCCCCATAGGGAGCTCCACCGAAGGCCCCAGTAGCGGCGCTTACATGCGTCTCCGCCACCCATCCCGGCACCCCCCCCGCAGCAGCATCATGTTTCGGGGACCCATAGGGAGCTCCACTGGAGGCCCCACTGGCGGCCCTCACATGCGTTTCGGCCACCCATGTCGGCACGCCCCGCGCGTGTTTCATGTCCCCATAGGGAGCTTCGCCGAATGCCCCAGTGGCACCCTCCCACACCTCCAGGGAGGCCCCGCCTGAGCGAGGAGGGTATCCGAAAACCATACTATTTACATGGTTTCGTGCCCCTCCCACCTCTCCAGGGAGGCCCCGCCTGAGCGAGGAGGGTATCCGAAAACCATACTATTTACATGGTTTCGTGCCCCTCCCACCCCTCCAGGGAGGCCCCGCCTGAGCGAGGAGGGTATCGAAAACCATACTATTTACATGGTTTCGTGCCCCTCCCACCCTCCAGGGAGGCCCCGCCTGAGCGAGGAGGGTATCCGAAAACCATACTATTTACATGGTTTCGTGCCCCTCCCACCTCTCCAGGGAGGCCCCGCCTGAGCGAGGAGGGTATCGGAAAACCATACTATTTACATGGTTTCGTGCCCCTCCCACCCCTCCAGGGAGGCCCCGCCTGAGCGAGGAGGGTATCGGAAAACCATACTATTTACATGGTTTCGTGCCCCTCCCACCCCTCCAGGGAGGCCCCGCCTGAGCGAGGAGGGTATCGGAATACCATACTATTTACATGGTTTCGTGCCCCTCCCACCCCCCAGGGAGGCCCCGCCTGAGCGAGGAGGGTATCCGAAAACCATACTATTTACATGGTTTCGTGCCCCTCCCACCTCTCCAGGGAGGCCCCGCCTGAGCGAGGAGGGTATCCGAAAACCATACTATTTACATGGTTTCGTGCCCCTCCTCCCTTCCAGCGGGGCCCCGCCAAAGCGAGGAGGGCATCAAGAAAATGGGCCCCACGAAATCGTTAATCTCTTTATGTGGGGAACTCCGTTAGCATAAATTGTTTTCCCAACCATACTGTGGTGTTGGGTCCTCGTTTTGAAGAGACGGTCCCCGCGTCCTCCTCTCCTCTCCTCCTCTCCTCTCCTCCTCTCCTCCTCCTCACCCTCCTCCTCCCTCCTCCCCCTCTTCCCTGCGTTTCACCCACCCAGTACAGCGTTTCGTGGCCCCGTAGGGAGCCCCACCGAAGGCCCCAGTGCTGCCGCCCGCATGCGTCACGCACACCCAATTCGGCACACCCCTCACACGTTTCGTGGCCCCATAGGGAGCCCCACCGAAGGCCCCAGTGCTGCCGCCCGCATGCGTCAGCCACACCCACTTCGGCCCACCCCTCACACGTTTCGTGGCCCCATAGGGAGCCCCACCGAAGGCCCCAGTGTTGCCGCCCGCATGCGTCACCCACACCCAATTCGGCACACCCCTCACACGTTTCGTGGCCCCATAGGGAGCCCCACCGAAGGCCCCAGTGCTGCCGCCCGCATGCGTCCCGCACACCCAATTCGGCACACCCCTCACACGTTTCGTGGCCCCATAGGGAGCCCACCGAAGGCCCCAGTGCTGCCGCCCGCATGCGTCCCGCACACCCAATTCGGCACACCCCTCACACGTTTCGTGGCCCCATAGGGAGCCCCACCGAAGGCCCAGAGCTGCCGCCCGCATGCGTCACCCACACCCAATTCGGCACACCCCTCACACGTTTCGTGGCCCCATAGGGAGCCCCACCGAAGGCCCCAGTGCTGCCGCCCGCATGCGTCACGCACACCCAATTCGGCACACCCCTCACACGTTTCGTGGCCCCATAGGGAGCCCCACCGAAGGCCCCAGTGCTGCCGCCCGCATGCGTCACGCACACCCAATTCGGCACACCCCTCACACGTTTCGTGGCCCCATAGGGAGCCCCACCGAAGGCCCCAGTGCTGCGCCCGCATGCGTCACGCACACCCAATTCGGCACACCCCTCACACGTTTCCGCCCCACCGAAGGCCCAGTTTGCATTCATGCGTCACCAAACCCATTCGGCACTCCCCTCACACGTTTCCCTCACCCCACCGAAGATCCATAGGGAGCCCCACCGTGCTGCCGCCCGCACGCGTCCGCCCCACCGAAGGCCCCAGTGCTGCCGCCCGCATGCGTCCCGCACACCCAATTCGGCACACCCCTCACACGTTTCGGCCCCATAGGGAGCCCCATGCTGCCGCCCGCAAGGCACACCCCTCACACGTTTCGTGGCCCCATAGGGAGCCCCACCGAAGGCTCCAGTGCTGCCGCCCGCATGCGTCACGCACACCCACTTCGGCACACCCCTCACACGTTTCGTGGCCCCATAGGGAGCCCCACCGAAGGCCCCAGTGCTGCCGCCCGCATGCGTCACGCACACCCAAATCGGCACACCCCTCACACGTTTCGTGGCCCCATAGGGAGCCCCACCGAAGGCCCCAGTGCCACCGCCCGCATGCGTCAGCCACACCCACTTCGGCCCACCCCTCACACGTTTCGTGGCCCCGCAGGGAGCTCCACCGAAGGCCCCAGTGCCGCCGCCCGCATGCGTCGCGCACACCCATCCGGCACACCCCTCACACGTTTCGTGGCCCCATAGGGAGCTCCACCGAAGGCTCCGTGCCGCCGCCCGCTGCGTCACGCACACCCAAGTCGGCACACCCTCACACGTTTCGTGGCCCCAAAGGGAGCTCCACCGAAGCCTCCAGTGCCGCCACCCGCATGCGTCACCCACACCCAATTCGGCACACCCCTCACACGATTCGTGGCCCCATAGGGAGCTCCGCCGAAGGCCCCAGTGCTGCCGCCCGCATGCGTCACCCACATCCAATTCGGCACACCCCTCACACGTTTCGTGGCCCCATAGGGAGCTCCACCGAAGGCTCCAGTGCTGCCGCCCGCATGCGTCACGCACACCCAAGTCGGCACACCTCTCACACGTTTCGTGGCCCCATAGGGAGCTCCACCGAAGCGTCCAGTGCCGCCGCCCGCATGCGTCACGCACACCCAATTCGGCACACCCCTCACACGTTTCGTGGCCCCATATGGAGCTCCACCGAAGGCCCCAGTGCCGCCTCCCGCATGCGTCACGCACACCCAATTCGGCACACCCCTCACACGTTTCGTGGCCCCATAGGGAGCTCCACCGACGGCCCCAGTGCCGCCGCCCGTAGCGCCACCCACACCCAATTTGGAACAAAAGCAGCAAAACGAAATGAACAAAATCAGCCCTGTCGTTCCCAAGAACCACTGAGAGTCTCCTCTCCTGCTGCTGCCGCTCCACCTCCCAAGACATCCGATGTCATGGTTTTTTTCCAACCATCCTGTGGTGTTGGGTCCTCGTTTTGAAGAAACGGTCCCCGTGTTCTTCCCTCCTTCTCTGCCCCCTCCTCTCCGCCGCCCGCAGGCGTCACGCACACCCAGTACAGCGTTTCGTGGCCCCACAGGGAGCCCCACCGAAGGCCCCAGTGCTGCCTCCCGCATGCGTCACGCACACCCAATTCGGCACACCCCTCACACGTTTCGTGGCCCCATAGGGAGCCCCACCGAAGGCCACAGTGCTGCCGCCCGCATGCGTCACGCACACCCAACTCGGCACATCCCTCACACGTTTCGTGGCCCCATAGGGAGCTCCACCGAAGGCCCTAGTGCTGCCGCCCGCATGCGTCACGCACACCCAATTCGGCACACCCCTCACACGTTTCGTGGCCCCGTAAGGGAGCCCCACCGAAGGCCCCAGTGCTGCCGCCCGCATGCGTCACGCACACCCAATTCGGCACACCCTTCACACGTTTCGTGGCCCCATAGGAAGCCCCACCGAAGGCCCCAGTGCTGCCTCCCGCATGCGTCACGCACACCCAATTCGGCACACCCCCACGTTTCGTGGCCCCATAGGGAGCTCCACCGAAGGCCCCAGTGCTGCCGCCCGCATGCGTCACCACACCCAATTCGGCACACCCCTCACACGTTTCGTGGCCCCATAGGGAGCCCCACCGAAGGCACCAGTGCTGCCGCCCGCATGCGTCACGCACACCCAATTCGCGCACACCCCTCACACGTCACACGTTTCGTGGCCCCATAGGGAGCCCGCACCGAAGGCCCCCAGTGCTGCCGACCGCATGCGTCACGCACACCCAATTCGGCACACCCCTCACACGTTTCGTGGCCCCATAAGGGAGCCCCACCGAAGGCCACAGTGCTGCCGCCCGCATGCGTCACGCATGCCCAATTCGGCACACCCCTCACACGTTTCGTGGCCCCATAGGGAGCCCCACCGAAGGCCCCAGTGCCGCCTCCCGCATGCGTCACGCACACCCAATTCGGCACACCCCTCACACGTTTCGTGGCCCCATAGGGAGCCCCACCGAAGGCCCCAGTTCTGCCGCCCGCATGCGTCCCGCACATCCAATTCGGCACACCCCTCACACGTTTCGTGGCCCCATAGGGAGCTCCACCGAAGGCCCCAGTGCTGCCGCCCGCATGCGTCCCGCACACCCAATTCGGCACACCCCTCACACGTTTCGTGGCCCCATAGGGAGCTCCACCGAAGGCCCCAGTGCTGCCGCCCGCATGCGTCCCGCACACCCAATTCGGCACACCCCTCACACGTTTCGTGGCCCCATAGGGAGCTCCACCGAAGGCCCCAGCGGCCGCGCTCACATGCGTCCCCGCCACCCATCCCGGCACGCCCCTCACAACAACAGGTTTCGTGGCCCCATAGGGAGCTCCACCGAAGGCCCCAGTGGCACCGCCCGCATGCGTCACCACCCGCACCCAATTCGGCACACCCCTCACACGTTTCGTGGCCCCATAGGGAGCTGCACCGAAGGCCCCAGTGGCGGCGCTCACATGCGTCCCCGCCACACATCCCAGTACACCCCTCACGCGCTTCGTGGCCCCATAGGGAGCTCCACCGAAGGCCCCAGTAGCGGCGCTTACATGCGTCTCCGCCACCCATCCCGGCACCCCCCCCGCAGCAGCATCATGTTTCGGGGACCCATAGGGAGCTCCACTGGAGGCCCCAGTGGCGGCCCTCACATGCGTTTCCGCCACCCATGTCGGCACGCCCCGCGCGTGTTTCATGTCCCCATAGGGAGCTTCGCCGAATGCCCCAGTGGCACCCATCTCGGCACACCCCTCACACGTTCCGTAGTCCTATGGGGAGTTCCACTGAAGATGAAACCCGCAGCTGCGGTACTGACAACTGCATATGGTTGGGTTCTTCGCCAAGCTAATCTTTAGGGTAGTTTTCGGCACGCGTGTTTCTTTGTTTGGTTTGTTTTTCTCTCTATATGCTTGTGCTTATTTTTTCTCCCTCTCTCTCTCTCTCTTTCTCTCCCTCCCTCTCTACGACATTAGATGGTTTACTCATCTTTATTTGCTGTCCATCTATTTTAAAGTTCCCCCCTGAGCCAGTGATGGTGGCCAAGCTGCGCGAGGATGTCGAGGGTCGTGGATCACTGCGTGGGGACGCGTTGGAGTTCCCGCCACGCTTCCTGCACATGCTAGATGTCAAAAGGTGCGATCGACATGAACACGTTTTTCTCATACAGCCGACCGCATGCGTCACGCATACTTAATTCGGCACACCCCTCACACGTTTCGTGGCCCCATAGGGAGCCCCACCGAAGGCCCCAGTGCTGCCTCCCGCATGCGTCCCGCACAGTTAATTCGGCACACCCCTCACACGTTTCGTGGCCCCATAGGGAGCCCCACCGGAGGCCCCAGTGCTGCCGCCCGCATGCGTCACGCACATCCAATTCGGCACACCCCTCACACGTTTCGTGGCCCCATAGGGAGCCCCACCGAAGGCCCCAGTTCTGCCCCCCGCATGCGTCACGCATACTTAATTCGGCACACCCCTCACACGTTTCGTGGCCCCATAGGGAGCCCCACCGAAGGCCCCAGTGCTGCCGCCCGCATGCGTCCCGCACACCCAATTCGGCACACCCCTCACACGTTTCGTGGCCCCATAGGGAGCCCCACCGAAGGCCCCAGTGCTGCCGCCCGCATGCGTCCCCACACCCAATTCGGCACACCCCTCACACGTTTCGTGGCCCCATAGGGAGCTCCACCGAAGGCCCCAGTGCTGCCGCCCGCATGCGTCACGCACACCCAATTCGGCACACCCCTCACACGTTTCGTGGCCCCATAGGGAGCTCCACCGAAGGCCCCAGCGGCCGCGCTCACATGCGTCCCCGCCACCCATCCCGGCACGCCCCTCACAGGTTTCGTGGCCCCATAGGGAGCTCCACCGAAGGCCCCAGGCACCGCCCGCATGCGTCACCACCCGCACCCAATTCGGCACACCCCTCACACGTTTCGTGGCCCCATAGGGAGCTGCACCGAAGGCCCCAGTGGCGGCGTTCACATGCGTCCCCGCCACACATCCCAGTACACCCCTCACACGTTTCGTGGCCCCATAGGGAGCTCCACCGAAGGCCCCAGTAGCGGCGCTTACATGCGTCTCCGCCACCCATCCCAGCACCCCCCCCGCAGCAGCATCATGTTTCGGGGACCCATAGGGAGCTCCACTGGAGGCTTCAGTGGCGGCCCTCAGATGCGTTTCCGCCACCCATGTCGGCACGCCCCGCACGTGTTTCATGTCCCCATAGGGAGCTTCGCCGAATGCCCCAGTGGCACCCATCTCAGCACACCCCTCACACGTTCCGTAGTCCTATGGGGAGTTCCACTGAAGATGAAACCCGCAGCTGCGGTACTGACAACTGCATATGGTTGGGTTCTTCGCCAGGCTAATTTTTAGGGTTGTTTTCGGCACGCGTGTTTCTTTGTTTGGTTTGTTTTTCTCTCTATATGCTTGTGCTTATTTTTTCTCCCTCTCTCTCTCTCTCTTTCTCTCCCTCCCTCTCTACGACATTAGATGGCTTACTCATCTTTCTTTGCTGTCCATCTATTCTAAAGTTCCCCCCTGAGCCAGTGATGGTGGCCAAGCTGCGCGAGGATGTCGAGGGTCGTGGATCACTGCGTGGGGACGCGTCGGAGTTCCCGCCACGCTTCCTGCACATGCTAGATGTCAAAAGGTGCGATCGGCATGAACACGTTTTTCTCATACAGCCGTGAGCGAGACTGTGAAGTTTGATGGTAGCGCGGGGCGGTTAGCCTTCGTGCACTTTTTATAGAAACTTGCCGACTGGCCCCATGTGGTTACGCCGTGTGGCTCAGCGACCGCCATCGTTCGTATATGTGTCCTTCCAATCGCTGTGTGTCTTCAGTATGACATGCAGAATACGCATGACGGGCTGCCCAGTGATGCTATTGGAGTGCAGTGTGCGCGTGGATCGTGTTGCGAATCCAAGCCAAATGAACATATGACCATATAAAGCGAAATCGATCTCCAGGATGTTGAGGCGCAGGTTTTCGTTTCGGATGCCATTTGGATCCACATCAGTATAGGCGCATTGCTGCGTATACCACCTCGCACAACGTTGCTAGTCTACCGCAGTGCTTACAGACCGCGTTCGGATGCTGAACCTTTCGGTTGGTCAAGCCTGCTGTGCTTCGAAAAGTTACCTAGTGGCCTTCCGCCCATCCCGGTACCGTGCCTGGGTCGTTATCAAGAGGCCTCGGATACATCGCCTCCTCGGGTATCGTGGGAGGTCTTCTGGGATACATCTTGGTGGCCCCTGAAGGCTTCTTGGAGCCTCTTTGGTGAGGGGTCTCTTGGGTAGTTGCTTGGGGACTGCTGGCGGTCTTGAGGGCCATCTTGAGGTGGGGGGTTCGAAATGTCAGTTCGGATCTCCCGTCTTTCGGGTCCCTCTGGGCCGTCTTGGGGGCCTATTGGGCCCCTCTTGGGGGCTTGGGGGTCGTCTTGGGGCGATCTTTGGGGCCTTTGAGTCCGTCTTGGGCCTTCTATAACCGGGACGGCGAGTATGAGGAAATCATGCAAAACCCTGTGTTTGTCAATGGCTTTGGCCTGTTAAGCAGGCTCCCGGGGCCTCCAAGACAGCCCAAGAAGGCTCCAGCACCGACCCATCGGAATGCTCTCGAGCATGTTGGAAGTTTTGATGCCGAGCCACGCTTCCAAGTCCTCGGAAAGTCACGTGGCACGCCCCGAGAGCGCCAAGAAACGCTCCAGAGCGTCCTGAACTCTGGGTCCGGGCCAAGGAGTCGTCCAGAATCAGGACGTGTCATTGAGTGCCTAATCACGGCACTGTGGCGGATTGGTTCAATGTTTCGGCATGTCCAGAGCTGTCGAGGGTATTTGGTGCATTTACATACCTGAGTGCCTTCGGGGAGTTCCGCCACCGTGCCAGCGCAGGACTTCGTGCGGCGACCTTTCCGAAGGGCCGGAGGTTGAAATTTGCGACGGCCTCGTCCGTGGGTTCCATGGGTTTGTAAACTGTTACTCGCTCTTTCGCAGGCTTGAGAAGGCCATCTCATGTGATATTCGTCGTCCTCAGGGCCGCCAGGGCCAATAGAACCGTGACACTTGACAAGTCTCTTTCCCATATCCCAGAGGTCCCAGAGGTCAGTACCATTTAACTGCTCACTGCCCCAGTGGAGGGAGTGCCGCAACTGGAGGCAATCTATTTTTCCAATGCCCAGTCTGCCGTAACATGTGGCACCAATGGAAATGGCCTACTAGAAGCTTGCTGGAGGGATTCAAGCAGTGTGCACCAGGCGATCAAAGCCACATGCGCCGACTGTTTTTTGCACAGACGGTGGTTCTGAGACATCTTTGCCCTGCTGGGCTTGCGAGCTGTTCGCGCTGCCTGGCTGAGTCATACAGTGGGGGCCCATGTCAAGAAACTCCCTGCTTGCCTCCGGCGTGCCCTGGGTGTCTTGTGTTTTTCGATGGTCCTGCCATGGAAAACGAGGCGCCCCCATGCCAAAAATCAGTGGACGTCCCGGGGTCTCAGGGTTGGGTTTCCTGTGGAAGGTTTCTTGTGGACTGGCCTCCGCTGTACACCTTATGCGATGCTTAAGAAAACTTAATTTTTCGGCCAGGGTCTCGATTATTCTTAATGTTTCAATGTAACTCCTAAGATTTGAGTGGAAATTTTGGGTTTTTACTCAAGTTCTGAGACTATGAATTTCTTAACCCATGATTTCTTAAGCATCTCGCAGGGTTTATCGTCGTGTGTGTATGTTCGGGATCTCTGTGCTTGCCTTGCCTCGGTGCCGACTCCTGCACCGAGCGCCGCACGGCGAAGGGCCACCGGACCTGGCCGGTCGGCCGACGGAGGGGCTCCTTCTTGCCCGCCTCCGGGAGCAGGGCCTCCCCCCCGCGGGACGCTGCTCGCTCTTGGACGCTCTCGGGCGCTCTCCGCTGGGCAGGGCGTGCGCTGCAGAGACCGCGCTCCTCTCGAGCGGCTCGGTGCCACGAAGGGAGGGGCGAGCCGTCGAGGCTCCTCCCCCTCGACCCCTCCTCACCACCCACCAAACCACCCCAACCCAACCCGAAGGCTCAAATTTACCCTCGATTTCCAGTGGGGGGGGGTCGGGAAACGTCGGAAAAACACATGTGGAACCCTTACCCCCCCCAACCCGAAATTCGGGTCTTCGGGTTGGGTTGGGGTGGTCTGGTAGGTAGTCACCTCCTCCCTCCCCCGCGTTTCTGCGCTTCGCGCTCCACGGGCGCCGCCTCCGCCCGTCGCAGCGCCCGAGCGCCGCGGCGAGAGGCGACGAGCAGCGAAAACGAGCGAGCGACGAGCGAGGGCGGGCGGGCGGCGGCGGCCCCGGCCGGCAGCGAAGGCAGCAGGGCGGGAGGCAGCCAGCGAGACAGGGGATCCCTCCCCTCGCCTTCAAGGAGGAAAGACTGGTCTACTCTGTAAGAACGGTTTTTTGAGGGCAGATCTGCTCTGTAAGCACGGTTTTTTGAAGGCGGATCTGCCCTCAAAAAAAAGCCGTTCTCACAGAGCAGACCATTTTTGGAAGGCAGATCTGCCTGCAAAAACCGTTCTTACAGAGTAGACCAGTCCTCTCTCCAGGGCCGCCACGAGGGTGCGAAGGCAGTCGCGCTTCGCGCTTCGCGGTCTGGGCGACGTCAGAGCGAGGCGCGAGTCCCTCGCCCTGTTCCAGGAGGGGCGGCGCGAAGGCGCGCAGACAGTCGCGCTTCGCGCTTCACTCAGGAGGAAAAGAAACACACAGACACAATTAATCCTCGATCCCCCAGAAAATATGGGAAAATATGGGAAGTGGGGGGGAAGACAAAACCCCAGAAAATATAGGAAAATATAGAGAATTATTTTATTTGTGTGTATTTATTTGTGTGTCCTTGGGCCCCTTCATTCACGGAGCGCGAAGCGTGAAGATGGTTGCCCTGGCCCCTGGGCCGCGACCCCGTGAACACGATCTGTTTGGCCGATGCACTGCGCGGAGGGTGTCCCATGCGACCGCGTGTCCTCGGGTTCGCCCCCCCGAGTCCAAACCGCGAAGGCGTGGGTATTCCGGGTTTCGTCATGGAAGGGGGGGGGGTCTGATTTGGGGCCGTGTTTGATTCGAGTTGCGTTGGGGGATTCTGGAGTGTCTGGGCAAAGGGCCATCCGTTCACGGCTGGTCTGGGGGGGGGGTCGTGGAGCCGCGTCTACATGTTCTCGTCTGGGTGCTTTGTGATCCCTCCCCTTTATTCCCCAAACAGAGCTTGCACTTCAGGGTTCTTACATCTTCCGTTCAAGGAACTGGGCCGTGTCTTCGGTCTAGCGGCTATGTGGCCGTTGTCGCTGCCACGTCGCCGCCCTGGATTCTCCTTCCTGAAAACAGAATAGACTCTACCCCCCCCCGACGTTATCACTCCCCCTTTCGGGTATGTAAATCGTATATGATTCTGACCACATGTCCATCCTAAATATGAATTTGCACTATCCAAGGCCAGCCGGGTTCCCCCCTCCCCTGAGGTTCCCTTGTGAAAAAACACTATGCGGTGACATTTTTTGTTCTAACATAGCACTTTTTTCACGAATCCCTTGCAACAAATGGGACGAAGTGCGCACGCGCGCGTCGTCGCGCGCGCATGCCGAAATCTTTCAAAAACCTTCGGTGCTGGAAGGATTTCGCAATCGAGTTTCCAAAACACATACAACAATTCAGGGCTTCGCAACACGGATGTGCTAAAAAAACTTCCGCGCGAGCTCGTGCGAAATCTTAAGAAAACCATAGGTTTTTCAATATTTTCACAACATGCTCTTAAAAGGGCTTTGCGCGCGCGAGAATCCTCTGCAAAAAAATGGGACGAAGTGCAGACGCGCGCGTCGTCGCGCGCGTACGCCGAAATCCTTCCAAAACGCTCGGTTTCGGAAGGATTTTTAAATCGTGTGTCCAAAAAACATACGAAAACCCAAGGCTTCGCAACACGGATTTTCAACAAAAGCGTGCGCGCCCGCTCTTGCGGCGTCGTCGTCGTCGTCGTCGTCGTCGCCGTCCTCCCTCCTCCCGCGTCGTCGTCGTCGTCGTCGTCGTCGTCGTCGTCGTCGTCGCCTACGTCGTCCTGTGTCTTTCCTCGTGATCGTCGTCGTCGTCTTCTTTGGCGTCGTAGTCGTTTCCGTCGTCGTTGTCGCCGTGGTCGTCCTTCCTCCTCCTCCCTCGCCCTCGTCGTCGTCGTCGTCGTCGTCGTCGTCCGTCGTCGGCGTCTCGTCGTCGTCCCTCCTATTTCGTCGCCGTCGTCGTCGTCTTTTTCGTTTCGTCGTGGTCTTCCCTCCTCCCTCGTCGTTGTCGTCGTCGGCGTCGCCGTCCTTCCTCCTTCTTCGTCGTTCGCGTCGTCGCCGTCCTCTCTCCTCCCTCGTTGTCGTCGTTGTCGTCGTTGTCGTCGTTGTCGCCGTCGTCGTCCTCCCTCCTCCCTCGTCGTCGTCTTCGTTGGCGACGTCGTCGTCGTCTTCGTCGTCGTCGTCGGCGTCGGCGTCGTCGTCTTCGTCGTCGTAGACGTCGGCGTCGTCGCTGCCAAGTGCCATCTGGTACCCACCGTCACGGTCTTAAGAGGTCTTGCGACCAAGTTGCGGGTGGGAGGGAGGGATGTTTGCACGAGGAGTGGAGAGGACGGCTTCAAGTTGAGCAGGTGATTGATTGCACAAAATAGATTGTATCGAAAATAATGCACCACAACTGTTGCACCGCATAGATTCTCCGTTCCCACAATAGACTAGACTCTACCCCCCCGGCTTTCTCGCTATACCTTTTTGTGTTGCAGTTTACATGCGATTCTGCCCAATTGTCCATCTTATATATGAATTCACGACATCTCAGTCCAGCCGGCCGGGTTCGACTCTGCCGCCATCCTCTACAAATCATATTAAACGCGCATGTTCGTTTACCAATAATCACAAGTTTTGAATAATCCCTGGCAACAAATGGGTTCGAAGTGTACACGCGCGCGTCGTCGCGCGCGCATGCCGAGATTCTTCAAAAATCTTAGGTTTCGGACGGATTTTTAAATCGAGTGTCCAAACACATATAACACATGGTTTCGCAACACGGATTTTCAAAAACAACGTGCGCGCGCGTTCTTGCGAATTCTTGAGAAAACCATCGGATTTTTCAACAGTTTCAGAGCATACTACCAAACGGGCGGGCTTCGCGCGCGCATCTCGAATCGTTCGAACGCCTCTACGCGCTTGCCGCCCCGAGAAATCCTCGCGCGCGTCGTCGCGCGCGCATGCTGGATTTCTTCAAAAGCCCTGGGTTTCGTAGCGATTTCAAAACCGAGTGTCCAAAACACATGCAAGAACACATGGTTTCGCAACATCAGTTTTCAAAGGAGACTTGCGTGCGCGGTCTTACGAATTCCTCCAGAAACCGTAGGTTTTTTTTGTGTGTTGTTTTTTTTCCTTCCTTCCAGCATTTTTGTGGAATTCTGCCCAATTGGCCTCTGGCGCCGCATGCCGACACCATTCGCACGCCCTTGCGCGCGTGTAGGCGGGGCACGATCCGTGTCAAATAAAACCATGCGGGCCACTTTCGCGCGTCGGCCGCACGCGCATGTCGAACTCTTTCCAAAACCTTCATTACCGACGCGAGGACGCCATCATCGTCATCGGCGCCCGCACTGCCCGCGCCTTCGTCGCTACGAACATCGTCGCCAGCATCGCCACGATCGTCATCGTGTCTACCGTAGTTGGCGTTGCCATGATACCGCGCCTGCCCAAGTTACCGACTCGCAGTGAAGTGCCCGCTGGGATGCGCCCAGCGGTCAGCGCCACCGCGACCGCGTCGGTGGCGCCAAACTAGCTGGCCGCTGCGCGCGCGTGCTAGGGTTGGCGCGGCCGCAGAGATGCACCAGCCAACGCCAAGCATGCATCGCAATCGCCACCGCATGGGTTTCGCAAGCCAGGCGCTGGCGCCGAGGGGGGGGAGGTTCAACCCCCCCCCCGTCCCTTGGGCAGGGGGGGGGGATTCGGGAGTTTTTTTTTTTTGGGGGGGGGTCCCCTTGGCTTTGATTGACGGCGCCGAAAGTTTGGGGGGGGCTCCGCCCCCCGGTTCGAAACGCGCCGCCGAATGTTCCCAAGGCAAGCGCCCGTGAAACGCGCTCTTTCATTCCTCGAGACATGAGTATCTGGCGTGGAGTCGGCGCATCCATTCAGCATCTGTCTGGGGCGTCTGCTGCAGACTCCAGTGCTGATCTCGCGTCCACTGGGAGACCACAGTTCGTGGAATGGAAGTGGAACTGTTCAAAGGTTTCGTCTTGGCCGTCGAAATCCCGAGGTTCGCCGAGGCACTTCTACGTCGTGAGTCCTATCATCCATACCTTGATGACATCCGCGTCTGTGATCTCCAGTTCCATATCTATCCTCGCCTGTAGGAGATGTAGTGCGAGACTCTGCTGCTTGGGCGCATCACCTTACGAATATCGAGATGTCCTATCACATTTGTTTTCATTCAGGATGACTGCGGAACGACATCAAACTCGTTGTATCTCTGAAACACCTCCTCTGGATAAGCTCCGTCCTCACGCATATCATGCCATGCGCTGAGCTGTAACACAACACTACTTGGGCTTGAATCTTGACGTATCGGAAGGCTTCTGAGAAGCTTTATAATCCTTTGAAAGGTTTTCTGAGCCTTCTCCGAAGACGGAGACGGCTCCTCGGAAGGCCGAGGGTCTTCTGAGAAGCCCCGCCGCCCTCTGAGAAGGCCCGCCCTTCTCACTTTCCCCTCGGGCTCGCCGTCGAGCAGAGCTCGTGACTGTGCGCGCCGCCAGTTTCGTTTCGGGAGAGGATGAGGAGGAGGATAAGGAGGAGGAGGAGGAGCACGAGAAGGAGGAGGAGGACGAGGAGGAGGAGGAGGAGGAGGAGGAGGAGGAGGAGGAGGAGGAGGAGGGGGAGGAGGAGGGGGAGGAGGGGGAGAAGGAGGAGGAGGAGGAGGAGGAGGAGGAGGAGGAGAAGGAGGAGGAGGAGGAGGATTAGGACGCGCTTGTTGATGCACCCGAAGCTGAAAAGGCCGGGTGCGATCTCTGGCCCTGGGCCTGAGTAGTTTGTGTTCTTCCTTTCTCGGCGCCGTGGTTTTATCGAGTTGGCGAGCAAGCGCGCGTGCGGCAGCGAGCCCGATGCTGACGAGGCAGGGGACGAACCCGTGCACGCGCGCTCTTTCATCGCAGGCCTTGAGACACCAATATCGGCGGTATACCGAGGGAAGAAGATTCCGATCTCGGTGATGGTGGTAATATTCTGGCTTCCAAGGTGGCCGAAATATTACCACCAACACCGAGATCTAGGAGAATCTTCCCCCGGTGGAGGCACCCCCCTGTGTTGGTGTTGGTCATTACCCATTTCCAGGCTTCCACTTTCAGGTTAGTAGTTTTTGACCGCTGCTCCCAGCGAGCCGGACAGACAGCGGGAGCTGCGGTGCTTTGCCAGGCGCGGAGATTGCTGAGGATGCCACCGTGCGGCGCAGATGTGCAGACCCCCGACGTCGGAGGGCCGAGGGCCGGCGAGACTACAGGTAGTACATGTACGGGCGAGACTACATGTACAGGCCGTTGGTTGGGTTTGTATGCTATTCTCCCTCGTCCGTGCTGGTAGCTGAGACAACCGACGGGGTTTCCCTTTCCTTTCTTTCCGTGCGCGGGCCGAAACCCAGCCTACTTCACGCGCCTTCCTGCTTCATGTCTCTACAGTAGGTTACGGCGTGTCGACCGGCGGCGACCCCGCTGCTGGCGTTCGATTTTGAACGATCTCACGTTTCTGAAACGGCCGATATTTGAGGTGTCAGAAACCAGCGCCGAAGTCGGCACGACACGAACCTGCCGTACGATTTTTTCTGGTCAACCCTCCTCTCGGCGGCGAGCGAGGGGTGGAAGTGATGAGGAGAAGACTTTTTCAGAATGCGGCGGGGCTTTTCAGAAGCCCCCCGGCCTTCTGCAGAGTGTTCCGTTCTCGGGGAAGGCTCAGAAACTTTGTCACAATGCCAGAGGACCCCCGAACCTTTTGAGAAGGCCTTCTCCTTCTCACTTCCCCCCCAGGCGCGCCGCCGACCCTCGGGCGAAGAGAACTATGCACATGCACCGATCCTGGCAAGGCCCATTTTTGACCCAGGATCGGTGCATATGCCTTCCTGGCCACGGTAGGAGGGCGTATGCACCGATCCTGGGCTCAGGATGGGCCTGGCCAGAATCGGTGCATGTGCATAGTTCTTTTCCCTCTAGACCCTTCCTCGTGGGGCAGTGCCGTGGGCTGACGGCTGCCAGCCGTCAGTCCGCCAATGGGGGGGCGAGCGGGCGCAGGTGGGCTGCCGACGCCATGGCAGGGGGCCCACGGGACGGGGGGGGGCAACGCCGCCAGTGTGCGTCCATGGTCGGAGACTGGAACATATACGGTCGGTTCATGCGGCGTTGGCGCGCCAGCGACGCCGGCGAAGACGTTCAAGGTTGAACTCTGCAACGCGACAGCACCAATGGACACGGTAACGCCACTGGACCCGACGGAATTCAACTTGGAACGATCGGGGCCGTGATCGCTTCAAGATTGAACGATCGACGCGGTGTCGAAAACCTGTGCGCGCGCCGACACCGCACGAACCTACCGTACATTACCAGAGGCGGGCTGTTTTCCAATCCCAGGACCTTTGGAGGGTCGGGGACGAATCCGGGGTCGTGTGGTGTCCAGACGGTGCACAGGTCTCTGCATTTTCCAGGGGAAGCAGCGGCAAATGTATACACCAGGATCCCGTATACACCAGGATCCGCTCTTCCGTGCGAGTTTCGGTGCGGAGCCGGAAAACGCATCGGTGCATAGAGTTCGGTTCCTTACATAGGAGGGCCGCCGTTGTCACGGTCAACCGCGAGAGCAAGGATGAAGCGCTACGTTTTGGAGCCGTTTGGGGGTCAGCACTGGTTCCGGCCAGCAGGAATGGCAGGCAGTCTCGAGGTTCTGAGTTTAGGAAGGCTTTTTGCCTTTGTCGGCCTCAGGGTGCCATTTTCGGGCCCCGGGACCGCCAGAAAACGGCGTGAAAAACTGCACCAGACGGAACTTGGGAGCGGTCCAGGGACCGATTTTGAGCGGGTATGGCCTCATCCCCCCTCCTGGCCGATTTTTTGGGGCGCCAGCCAGTTCAGACGCTTCGAGGCCGTCAGGGGTCTTTCTGCATTCTTGCCAGTCCGGCGGCTCATCCTCAGCCGGTTCTGTTCGCCGGGGTGCGCCGGTCTCTAGGGATACCCTGTGTCCAATTCTGGTGTTGCTAGAAGTGCCCCTGGCCCAAGGGGCCCCCAGGATTCCCAAGGAGGCCCCAAGGGCGCCAAGAGCACCCCTCACGAGGCAAAGAGGGCCCCAGGGTTTCCGAAATCAATCGAAAAGCTGGGGGCACCTTGGGCCAGGGGCACCTTTCGCACCCCCCGACCAAGGGGGTCGTGGCCCCCTGGTTGCTCCGTGTCCATAGCTTCTGCCAGGTAGGACGCGAACCTGCCAAGCGGCGCAGTGGCTGCCAGCCGCCTGTCCCCTTCGGCGCCGACGGTCGCGCGGGGGGTCAGGCGCCGTGGGTTCTCGCTGGATGGACGTCATGATCGAGGGCAGGGCGGAGGACGAGGAGGAGGAGGATGAGGAGGGGGAGGAGGAGGAGGAGGAGGAGGAGGAGGAGGAGGAGGAGGAGGAGGACGAGTAGGAGGGAGGTGAGGAGGAGAGAGATGATCAGAGGGAGGAGGAGGAGGAGGAGGAGGAGGAGGAGGAGGAGGAGGAGGAGGAGGAGGAGGAGGAGAGGAGGAGGAGGAGGAGGGAGGAGGAGGAGGAGGAGGAGGAGGAGGAGGAGGAGGAGGAGGAAGAGGAGGAGGAGGAGGAGGCGGACGGGGAGAGAGAGGGGCAGGAGGGTGCCAGTCCTCCGCTTCCTCCTCGTCCTGCCCTCTTCCTTGCAAGCTATTCCTTGTCGCACCACCAGACGTGTGGGGGAGCGCGGGCGGGGTGTTTCGCCCGAGACCCTCTTCCATTCATGGCGCTTCGACGAACGTTACAAAGATGGATTGTTAACCTGTTTCAAAAAATGGCTCTCGCCTAAGCGCCGCGGACATCCGTCTTAATGTTCGCAGCCGATGCAGGGATGAAGGGCGACCCATTCTCCAGTGATGCCCATCGCCGTAGTAGTGCCGCACATATCTGCCTGAACCGTTCCCAGCAATTGCACGGATGGAGGATGGTTCTTTCTCAAAGTTGGGCGCTCGGTCGAGACACTTTGAGTTTCACGACCAGATGTGAACAAGTGAAGCAGCTACACGGGTGGAGGACGAGTCCTTTTCAAAATGAGATTCTCGGATGAGGTGTCTTCAGGCTGTCTGACTAGAAGTTAACAGTTGCGCAGCAGCCACAGTTGTAATAGGGGAGGGGGGTTCGTATTCCAAGCTGGGCTCTCGTTGGGCAGATTCTTTGAATTTCTGCTCCTACCTTTTTGGGTTTTTACAGCTCACCAGTCGACATGGGGACATACTCTCGTCTTCGCGCGTCTCTCGCCAGAATGGCTGCCCCAAGGAGCGCTCGTATTTTCAGAGGGCGCTTCCCGTAGGCAAAATAACTGCTGGTAATTGTATGGATATATTTTGAGGGGACTTGTCACAGAAGGATGTGTTGCAGCATCATTCGTCCATCATGGGTTCACAATGGTCCTCTCCGCATGTCGTTCTCGGGAGAAGCATTGGATGTTGACGAGGGTATTGATGATTCTGATGATGCTGATGCTGATGTTGTTGCTGATGCTGACGCTGACGCTGACACTGAGGATGATGTTGCTGCTGCTGCTGATGATGATGATTCATGACGCTGCTGCTGATGATGCTGCTGCTGCTGATTCCGATGACGATTCATGGTGATGATGAGGATGAGGATGAGGATGATGCTGCTGATGATGACGATGATGCTGATGCTGATGATGCTGACGCTGATGATGATGCTGATGCTGGTGATAATGACGAGGATGCTGATGCTGCTGATGCTGATGATGCAGCTGTCAGTATTTTTATTACTAGTATTCTTCTTGTTATTGATCTTGTTGTTGCTGTGGTTATTATCGCTGCTGCTGCTGTTGTCGTTGCTGTTGTTGTTGTTGTTGTTGTTGCAGCTGTTGCTGTTGCTGTTGCTGTTGCTGTTGCTGTTGCTGTTGCTGTTGTTGTTGTTGTTGTTGCTGTTGCTGTTGCTGTTGCTGTTGCTGTTGTTGTTGTTGTTGTGGTTGTTGCTGTTGTTGTTGTTGTTGTTGTTGTTGTTGCTGCTGCTGCTGCTGCTGCTGCTGTTGTTGTTGTTGTTGTTGTTGTTGCTGTTGCTGTTGTTGCTGCTGCTGCTGGTGTTGGTGTTGGTGTTGGTGTTGGTGTTGGTATCGGTGTTGGTGTTGGTGTTGTTGTTCGGTAAGGCGTTGACACCGGCCCCGGCTTGTTGTTGAGATCTTCTTCTTCTCTCAAGACTTCTTCTTCTTAAGGCAATGCAGCGCTCCAGCGACCGAGGGCTTGCCGCACGGGGCCGGAGAAGGGGTTGGCACTGGGGCGGCAGCGCAAGGTGCCCCACGGGGCCGGAGAAGGGGTCGGCACTCCTGGCGCGTTTCCAAAGGTTTCCCCAGGATTTCCGCGAATCCTTTAGGATTCCTTTGGATGTCTGAGGATTCCTCCGGACTCTCTAGAATCTCCAAGGGCTCCTCAGGAGCCCCCAGGATTCCTCAGGAATCCTCAGGAGCCGTTCCGCGGGGCTCCCGAGGATTCCTCAGGATCCTCCAGGATTCCTCAGGCTCCTTCGGGAGTCCCCAGGATTCCTCAGGA